ATCCAAAGAAATTTTTCTGATTTCAAATTTTGATACACAAATAAGATTCATTTATTTCCAAATACCCTATTTTTTTTTCCTTACATTAAAATAATGATGCGTGTGTACGTATGTAGGATATAACAGATATATAATGTGTATAACGATAATATGTGTATATAATGTGTATATAATAATGTATATAATGTATATATGTGCGTATTTATGAAGTAGTTCATTGAATTTGGGCGGAGGTAAAATTTTTTTTTTATCATTTTCCTTTTTTCGGATGTCACGCTGAAATCTTCTAATAGCATATACGGGTATGTAACCGGTAATCCACTATTCGAGCTAGCGAGAATGTATGTACCAACTAATTATCATTTCTTATCTTTCTCCAGTTACTGATCAGAAAAGAACCATGATTGTTAAGTTGTGCATACCAATACTTATTTATCTAAGATGATTATTAATATATATTATATATATTGAAAGACACTCAATAAGAAATAGATTTTTTGAAAAAATTTTTTTCAATATTTTTGCAGATCAACACGATTATGCCTATCTTACACCTTTTTGCAACAAACAGAAGATCACTAGAATCGCAATTTTGCAATAGATTTTTTAAAAAATTTTTAATATATTTATCAGATGACACATCATCGCATTGCTGCAACTTCGTTGTACCACGTGATTTCATTCAAATACTTATAAAAAAGTATGTTAACGTCATAATGCTGTAGTTCGACTCGTGACACGAATTGAAGTAAATTCGTATGGACATTATAGGAAGTGCAAAGGGATTGTCTTTTTTAGTAACTAAACAAAATGGTCATATGGTACTAATTGTCAAACTTGTTAAATCATGTCAATTGTCAAAGCTATCAAAAATTTAAAAAATTGACTCTGTGTAACTTACAACACATTATGTGGGGGAAACCGAACGAGGGCTAATTTTACGATAAGCTAATGATATGTATGGCATAACAGTTTGCATTAAAACACAATTGCTCATTCATCTGCATTATATTTTCAGAAAAAAATTTTTTAGATGTACAACCTTAAAATTGTAGTTCGTCAAAGGTAAGTCGTGAATTTATTATGATACATGATTATCTCGTGCATATCTAAAAGTGCCTACGGGTGTTTGCCGCATACATTATAAAGAAACAAAGGCCGCCCTAAATTTTACATAGTAGATGATTTTTTGGCTGTTGTGGCGTAATCCTTTCGCGTATTTGTTTGAGGTATGAGTCGATCTTAACCAATATTTTGTTCGTTATGAATTATTACAGTTACTTATCAGACATATATATTTTTTTGGTGTTAAAAAAACCTGTTTATATTGAATTTTGAATTTTCTACCTTTTTTAAATGTTCATCCATAGGACTAATTGAATTTTGCTCTTGGAGAGACATTTAAAATTCTTCAAGCTTGGGCTCTTGATTCACTGATATAAAAAACGTCCGGTATATAAAAATTACATATGTACAGTATCGTACATACAGTATGTATGGTTTATACATTAAGTATGATACTATATACTTAAATTTTATACTTAAAAAAATTTTTTTTAAATATTGATTAACTTCTTTTAGTAATTTTGTATTAAATTTTTTGGGAATAGATAATCTTTAATTACTTGGCAAAGACAGTAGTTGTTTTTTTGATGCATCTAATTTATATATAAATATATATATACTGTATATATTAAAAATAAAATATAATTATTTACGGATACTTTGATTTAGTTTTTTCTGGCTTTTAAAAAACTTCGAAAGGGGTAATTATTATTAATGGAAATCCCTTTGGTAACTTTGGTAAGTGTTTGGTCGTTGAATTAGGAGAAATTTAAGCAGTCGTGCGACATTTAAGTAATAAATTATAAATCCTTATATTTTAACGAATTATGGAACTTAAACTGTCGTGCAGCATTTATTAAACATTTGAAGAATAAAATTAAGCTACGTATACGTATTCAAAAAAATTTTCCTTTTTTAATTAATACCGAACGTTCTTAAATAAGTACGTATTTAGGAGATTAGGATTACATGAATGAAATAGAATGAAATAGAATGAAATTAAGTTTATATTCAAAAAAAAAATTTTTTCCTTTTTTCATTAACTGTTAATAACGAACGTTCTTAGGAGAAATTAACCGAATGAGTGTGTAACGCTAAATGAATTTACTAATTGGTTTGTCAAAGTCTTTTGCTACATACTTCTAATGTATCATTTGTTATTATATTTTAGTCGAAATGACTAATTCGGTTTATAAACGTATGTATATATGTTATCTTTGTTAGTCAAACGCAACTTTTCTGAACTATACTACGTATCACTATTCGCAACACTTGTATGGTAATATATAGTATGATTGTGGTATGACATTTTAATGGAGAAATTGTCAGGCCACCCATACTGATCCGACCGCTTGTACTATAATTATCTGCTAATTTATTATAATTCCTAACCATAATAACATGAGTGTCGCCAAATAAAGATCAGGAATTCTAATTTTATATTATATATATATATATATATATATATATATATACTATATAATAGTCTATATTTAGAATTCCCTGTTTCTTTTACGGCACTCAAAATAGCAGGTAGAAAATCTGTGTGGTGTGTACGTGTGTACTTACGTACGTTTCAAATTTGTATAGTATCTCTATAATATTAAAGATGTTGGGTGAAATATTAGAGAAACGAAATAATTTCACCACTATTGGTGAAAATAATATTAGAGAAACGAAATAATTTCACCAGCACCTCTACAGTATCTCTACAGTATCTCTACCCATATACGATCTTATGCTAATTGTAACATCATCTCATGCGCATACAGTTGATATGATCAGGTGTAACCATTTCTAGTTTAACATTAAATATTTATTTCCGGGTCCACGGGTCATAATTTCTAAAATAGAAAATTTTAATAAAAAAAAATCCGGTTTACGGGACAAATATACAGTTAAATTAAATTAATTGCTAAGACGTTTGGAGTTTACTAATTTCTCCCACCACTTCTGATTGGTTCTACTAATTATTCACATATCGGAGTATCTGTGCTATTAATTAAATTTATAGTACTCCGATAGTGAAGTGGTGGGGAAAATTAGTAAACCCTTTGCACAACGAATCCTTAAACCACTCATTGCATGAATGACTTTTTTACTATTCATTGCATGAATGGCGTTTTTCTTTAGAATATTAATTGCGAAAAAGTACAAAGACGTTGTAACATCTGAAAATTTTTAAATTAAATAGATCTTGGTGTGACTTTTTAATTCAATTTTTTATATCTATGACGTAAATTTCACTTTTTGAGTATGGTGTTGATAATCATATCTACAAAGTATCTATAATAAAAAAATGGTGTGAATCTTTTTTTGTTTCTTTCACTAATTAAAGTCATAAATTATAATGGGTCGTGGTTCACGAGTTTCTATTATCGGTGCAGGTTCTGTTGGTGCTTCCATTGCCTTTGCATTGCATCTGCAGAAGATTTCCTCTGAAATTCTTTTGGTTGATATTAATCCTGAAGCTGTTGAAGGTCAAGTGTTAGATCTTTCAGATGCCAACTTCACTTCTTCTACCCAAGTTCGCAGTGGCACTTTTCAGGAGGCTGGACAATGCGATATTGTAGTTATTACTGCTGGTGCTAAACAGAAGTCCGGTGAAACAAGAGTTGAAGTAGGTGCTATCAAAATTATCTCCTTTTAAAAAACTCGAATATCTGATCTATGATTCATTCAATTTTTAGTTAATTGAAAGAAATTACAAAATTTTGGATAATGTGATAGGATCTATGAAACCATTTAATCCTAATATAATTTTATTATTAGTAGCTAATCCTGTGAGAAATTAATAATCTTTATAATTTAATATCTACATTAATATTGATATTAATATCGATATTTTATTTTTTTTTGTTTTTTTTTTTTTCTACATATATTAACACATTAATATTCAATATTTATTCATCCATGTTAAAGGTAGATGTATTAACTCGCATTACTCAAAAACTATCTGGTTTGCCAGAAAAACAAGTATTTGGTTCGGGTACTTTTCTGGACTCGGCCAGATTAAAACTTAAATTAGCTTCTGTGATTGGGGTAATTTAGATTTTTGGGAAAAGTTTACACGCTTTAATATATGAAATTAATTACTAAATTATAATTAACGCAATAGGTCTCTGAGAATGCAATTCACAGTTACGATTTAGGTGAACATGGTGATTCACAAATCATTGCATGGTCTTCTGCCCATGTTGGAGGTAAACCTTTGTTGGACTTTCCCGAAATTCAAAAATTAGATAAAGAGGTTGTTGCTAAAGAAATTGCAAATAAAGCCTACAAAATTATTGAGCTTAAAGGAGCAACTTATTTTGGAATTGCTGGATGTGTATCCATGTTAGTTCAATGTATCGTATTGAATCAAAGACATATAAGACCATTGAGTGTTTATATTAAAGAATATGACTGTGTATTTAGCATGCCAGTCGTATTGGGAAGTAATGGTGTTGAAAGGATAATTGAAATTTCATTGAGTGAAAAAGAAAAGAACAAATTGAGACGTTCAGCTTCAGCCTTGAAATCAATTTGTACCAAATATCTTTAGATGAAATTTGAATAATTTTTTAAATAACTAGTACAGACAACTCATGTTTTTTTATATATATATAAGTTATTCATCTGCTTCATTAAGGGGTTTCAGAATTAAAAAAAATAGGGTATTTGGAAATAAATGAATCTTATTTGTGTATCAAAATTTGAAATCAGAAAAATTTCTTTGGAT